TTTGCTACCTCGTCATGGCCTTCAGACTCAAAAACTCCGGCGCCACCTATACTAGGATGGTGGCCAAAATCTTCAGAACGGTCCTTGGCCGGACGATGGAGGCATACGTCGACGACATGATCGTCAAGAGCAGGCAGGCCACCTCCCACGCCGACGACCTCCGGGAAATCTTTGAAATCATGAAGGAGTTCAGGCTCCGCCTTAACCCCAAGAAGTGCGCCTTCGGCGTCCAGGGCGGCAAGTTCCTTGGCTACATGGTCAGCCGGAGAGGCATCGAGATAAACCCAGAGAAGACGCAGGCTATCATCAACATGGAGCCGCCCCGCAACGTCAAGGAGGTACAGCGACTGACGGGGCGCCTGGCGGCCTTAAACTGGTTCCTCTCCAGGTCAGCTGAGAGGGCACTCCCTTTCTTCCAGATCATGCACAAGGCAACCAGCTTCAAGTGGACGACGGAGTGCCAGGAAGCATTCGACGAATTGAAAAGGTACCTGTCGTCCCCACCTGTACTCTCCAAGCCCAAAGCCGGCGAAACCCTCTTCCTGTACTTAGGGGTGAGCACGTCGGCCATCAGCTCCGTGCTCATCCGTGAGGACGAAGGGGTGCAGAAGGCCATCTTCTACATCAGCAAGACACTTAGGGAGGCCGAGCTCAGGTACTCCCCCATTGAGAAGACGGTGCTGGCCATCGTCCACACCGTGAAGAAGCTGGGGCACTATTTCCAAGCCCACACCGTCCATGTGCTGACCCAGCAGCCTCTCGGCGCGCTCATGAGGAGCCCCACTAGCTCCTCGAGGATGGTGAAATGGGCGATCTTCCTCAGCCAGTTTCAAATTGAGATCAAGCCAAGGCCATCTATCAAAGGGCAAGCCTTGGGCGACTTCGTCATCGAATGCACAGCAAGGGAGACGGCCGTCGCCAACCACGGCCCGGAGCCGGATGACACGTGGACCCTGTTCACTGACGGCTCGTCGGCCGTGAAATCATGCGGCGGCGGCGTCGTCCTCATATCCCCTGAAGGGTTCAAAGCTTACTATGCCATCCGCTTCAACTTCAGGGTATCCAACAACGAAGCCGAGTATGAGGCCCTCCTCAGCGGTCTCAGGCTCGCCGCCGGCCTCAAGGCCAAGCACCTCAAGATCAAGTGCGACTCCAAACTGGTAGTGGGCCAGGTGGAGGGATCGTACGAGGCAAAGGAAGGCCGGATGAAGCAGTACAAACAGGCAGCGGAGGAATTGCTGAAAGCGTTTGAAACCCACGAGATCACTCAGATCCCAAGGGCCGAGAACGCCGAAGCCGACATCCTCTCCAAGCTCAGCTCGGACACCCCGGAGCACATATCCCAGTTGGCCAAGATCGAGGAGTTGAGCATGTCCAGCATCCATGCCAGCCCCGTCTTGTGCGTCCAACAGCGACCAGAGGACTGGATCTCCGACATCGCCACCTTCATCACAACGGGGGAGCTGCCCCCGGACGAGGAGAGGGCCAAACTCACCAAACTCAGGGCCCCGAGCTACACCATCGAAGATGGCAAACTCTACAAACGGTCCTATAATGGCACTCTCCTCCGATGCCTGCACCAGGACGAGGCCGACACAGCCATGGAAGAAGTTCATTGCGGCGTCTGCTCCTCACACCAGGGCCCTTTCAGCATGTCCCGGCGTCTCGTCGTCCAGGGTTTCTTCTGGCCGACGATGGCACGCGACTGCGCTGACCTAGCCAGGAAGTGCACCACATGCCAGGTACTCCAGAAGGCCCCTGGTCGGCCAGCTGTCAATTATGCCCCTGTCAGCACCGCAATTCCATTCTCTAGATGGGGGATTGACCTGGTCGGCCCCCTGCCCAGAGCCGCCGGGAATAACCGCTACATCATCGTCGCCGTCGACTACTTCACCAAGTGGGTCGAGGCGGAACCTTTGGCCAGCATCACGGGGGCCAGATGCCAAAAATTTGTTTACAAGAACATCATCACACGCTTTGGCGTCCCCCAGGAGATCATATCAGACAACGGCACCCAATTCGAGGCAGCCCCTTTCCAGGAGATCCTCCGGGAGTTTGGGGTGAAGCACCGTTTCTCCTCCGTTGCCTATCCTCAGGGCAACGGGCAGGTCGAGAACGCCAATAGAACAATAATGGAGGGGCTGAAGAAGAAACTCCAGACCGCAGGAGGTAGTTGGGTCGATGAGCTCCCCAACATCTTGTGGTGCTACAGAACCACGCCGAGGAGGGCGACGGGTGAAACGCCTTTCGCCCTGTGCTACGGCTTTGAAGCAAAGGCGCCTACGGAAGTTGCCATCCCCAGCCGACGGGTGGAACAATACGAGCCTGACACCAACGAAGAGAACATGAAGATTGACCTACACCTGGTTGACGAGAGGCGCGAACAAGCTTACGTCCGAGCAGAGAACTACCGGCGTCAAGTAAAATCATACTATGACGCCAAGGTACGTTCTCGGGAATTTCAGGTGGGGAACTACGTCCTCCGCCGAAGGGAAGCAAGCCAGCCGACAGAGGGTGGCAAGCTAGCATTGAAGTACGAAGGGCCCTACATCGTCAGTGCCGTGGTCAAACCCGGCACCTACAAGCTTAAACGCCCGAATGGGTCCAATGTACCACGAACATGGAATGTACACCATTTGGTGAAGTTTTATCAGTAATCCGAAGGAGGTGCAGACGGCGAAGCCCTCACCTCTTAACGGGTTACTGATTGAACGCCACCCTCGGCCTCGAGCCACTTATGAATAAAATCATGTTCTGATTTTTTCTCCGGAAATTCAAAGTAAAACATTAGCAGGTGCCCTCGTCGGCCACCTTAGAGCGAAAGGCTCAGGTCTGGCCGACATGGCCCCTTGCATTTGCAGCCTACGAGCGACAAGCTCAGGCACTCCATTGTATTTTGTATCAGCGAAGGGCTCAGGCCTAGCCGAGAGAGCACATCGTCCTGGCCCCGTAAGCCTAGAAGTGAAACGCTCAGGTATGGCCGACGATGTCCCCAGGACGAGGGGCCCGCAAACGGCCCACGTCTTGAAACGGGAAGCTCACCGCGTCGTCTACGCGCCAGATCGCAGGACGACAGGCCTGAAATCATGGCCGAGGTGACAAAATCCCAAAACTCAGGGTTGGGCAACGACAGCCGTTGGAAACCGACCAAAAGTCTAGCCCGCGTCATAAATAGGCGACGGGACCCGCCCTGAGATCACGGACGTTATAAACGAAGTCCGAACCGGCCGAAGGACGAGCACACCCTTCGGCCGAAGCCTGAAAGAAGGATACCCCCGAAACAAAACAAAAAACAAAAAAAAAACATACAAGGGAAAAAGAGGGAAGCCTACGGCCGCGCATACTAGCCGACCTCGAGCAATGAAAAAATAAAATCCCCACAACTCAGGCCCAACTAGGCCAAGTACATATCAGTTGAACACAAGTTTAGTACCACTGACAGGCAGCATGGACGACACGTCCACACACCACGAGGGAACAATCAAGGCCGATACACACGCCTATGAAACCCTAACCACATCGGTTGGGTGACACGCGAGAGGTGACCTTCATCGGCCATAGTCCTTTGAGGCACCAACGCTTGGTATGAAACAAAGCATCGCTAACCGGAGGATGACCGGGACGAAGCGGGCACTCATCACACCCGCGAAAGGAACAAGCAATTAAGAAACGACCTCTACTTGCCACAGCACCTCGGATGGCCGATGCAGGCACTGGAACCATGGCCAGCCGACGAAGGCAGGACCATCTCCTTAGACAAGCTATTCCTTATCCAGCACCCTCATCGGCCACAAGCCAGACCTTGGCCGACAAGGGCACCGCAAAGACGTAAATACCTAACATTTATACTCAGGAAATTATCTAAGTACTCAAATGAAGGAATTCTAGCCGAAGCGGGTACCAGTATACTACAAAGCCGTTAGCCACCTACACCTCTACATGTGTACTTGTGAAAAATTCAAAGTCCACAAGACTATGGTGAAGGTGCCCTTATCAGCCAGAACACAGGGATACAAGCCGACAACGGCCCTGGCTAAAACACCTGGGATGAATCCAAGGCCAGGACGACAAGGACGCCAACGCCTGGACGGAACGGACACTGCGGTCAGGGCTAAAAAGGGAAGCACCTAAAAGGAATCAAAAACACTTAGGAAATTTTGTGAAAAAATCCTAAGTGTTATGATAGCAAAGGAACACCGGTCAAGCCGACCAGGCCACCAGGCCGAAAGGAAAGCACCTAAGTGGATCCCAAAACACTTAGAAAATTTTTGAAAAATTCCTAAGTGTTATGAAACTACGTCCAAGCCGATCAAGCCACTAGGCCGTAAAGACAGGAGCTACATGGACCCAAAAACACTTGGGAAATTTTTGAAACAAAATCCTAAGTGTTATGACAGTAAAGCAAAGAGGCATAGGCCGACCAGACTACTGGACGGGAAGGCCAACCTCACGGACGTAGCGGACACTCGCGGGTAACCCAAGTTATGACTTGATACTTAGACAATTTACAGAATTCAAATGACAAAGCAAACAAGCACACAAAGGATTCAAGGCCGAAAAGGACAACAAAAATTTCTTCAATTGATAAATTTCATTACAATTGGGGGGCACTACGGCCGTTACATCACTTGGCAAAAAATTGAAAAGCTAATTACAAAAAGTAGCCACTCAAGCTTCGGGGGCACCTCCATCTGCGGCCGCCTCATCGGCCTCATCAGCTCCCTCTTCGTCCTCAGCTTCTTGGCCGGCAGCAGGCGCAGCACTGATAGCATCATCCAGGAAGTCGAACTCAGTGTAGTCCGGCTCGCCGAGGCCGGAGCTTTCTATGGGGGACTCCCGCTCCGACAGCGGAAGCTTGGCCTGCTCTTCGGGATCCTTCATCAGCTTTGGCAGCTTCAGGTTCCGTCTAGCCCATCCAGAAGTGTAATTCATGGCCTTCAACGCCCGGGATAGCCGCCGACACAGGAGCCTTTGCATCCGCTCCTGGCCCAGGTTGTAGTAAACGGACATCTCCCGGCTGAAATACTCCCGGCCGGCAGGGGAGTTCATCCCCCAATTCTCCAGCCTGGCGGCCACCACTTCGTAGCACCAGGGGAGCCTCTCATCGGCCTTCCACCCCTCGGCCAAGAACTTCTCAACGGCCTCATCGGCAGCCTTCACGACGGCGGCCTCGGCCTCAGCCTTCGCCTTGGCGGCCTCCTCGCTCCTGCGCTTCTCGACCTCAAGCACCCTGTAGGACTCCGCGAGCTCCCTTTTGCTCTCTTCGAGTTTGACCAGGGCATCGTCCCTGGCCGCGACGGCTTCATCAGCTTTGGCCTGCAGCGCCTTGGCATCCTCCCGGAGCCGGTCAAGGCAAGCTACCGCCTCGTCGGCCGAGGCAGCCTTCTGCTCCAGCGCTTGCAGGCGGGCTATCTCCCAGTACTGCCTCTTATGGCTTTCCATAAGTATGAAGGCACTCTGCAGAAGAAAAACAAAGGTCAGGCAAAAACTCTACATAGACGAAGAGAGACAAGAATATAAGGACAATCACTTACTTGGACGAGGAGATCCATGCCGCCCTCATAAATCTTCGGGTCCTCGAGCTTCTTCAAATGAGCCCGATCTTTGGCCGGCATGGCCTTGGCCAGGACGACGTGGCCGGGGACGAGCTCATTAAACACGCCCCCGCCGACGGGGTACTCTATCACTTTCTGATAGGTGGCACCGGCAATCTCCTTGCCGGCCCTCTGCGTCCGTGGTTCCTGGACGAGAGGAAGCGCTGGGGCGGCATCATCAGCAACAGTAAGGTCCACAACGGGACCACCATCGCCCACGCTGGGGACAGTAAGCGTACCGGCCTCACTGGCCGGAGAAGGGGAAGGAGCCCTCTTCGTCTTCTTAGAGACGCTCACGCCGGCCTCGGTCAACTTTTTCTGGCCGTCAGTGGCCGGTCTCTTTTTCTTGGACGGGGCAGGTTTTGGGGCCGCATCAGCAGTAGCCCCGCTCCCACCAGCAGCGGCACGCCGGGCCGCCTCGGCCGCCTTGGCCTTAGCAACGGCCATTATGGAACGCCGGTCCATGACAAAGTCTACAAAGGAAAAACAAACAGATTAGTAAGGCAAAGGACAAAACGTAAAGACAGAAAGCCGAAGAAATATTACCATCGGCCTCAGCAGGAATGCCCAAAGGCGGGCCATCGGCCTCCTCAAAGGTGGTGGTCATCTTCGGCTAGAGTTGGAGGTCATCCTCCTTATCTCCATACAAGTGATATCTGAAGAAGCCGAGGGCCGTCATCTTGTATTCAGTGACGTAATCTTTCACGCTCCTCGGCCCCCCTTCCAGGAAAGCCTCCACCTGAGCGTCCAAAATAGAGCTCTTCGGCGGGTCATGAAGATTGAACCTCCCGGTATGGCCGAGGGAGGGGAACTCGGTGCCACTCTCACCAATGGACACAAACACGAACTTGCTCTTCCACCCATGAATGGACGTAGGCAGATCCGTGAAGCTCCTCTTCCTCGACAGCTGTTAAAGAGTAGCATAGGCCGCACAGTTCTTGTGGCTTCCTCGGCCGATCTGGTACAAGTTCATGAATAGGGCCGTGGTCGGCCTGTAGCCCAACTCCTCACACCGAAGCAAGAAGCCCACTATCAAGGAATAACTGTTCGGCGTCAGCAGGGCCGGAGGAAGCCCCACCATGTCCAGATACTCAGTGACGAAAGGGTGAAGGGGAACCTCAACCCCTTAGCAAAACTCATCGGGTATACTCCGAAGTATCCCGGTGGCGGGAGTAGAACATGGTCCGTCGGCCTGGGTGCCCTAACCCGCCCGAACGGCCCCACGTACATCTGGGTGACAAGATAGTCGGCCGCACTGCTCTCCGGCTTGATCAGGAATATGTTGGTAAGGTCCAAGTAGGAGAGACCCGGCCCATTCTTCGGCCTCCTCACCCTCTTCGGCTTAGCTGCGCCCTTCACGGCAGATACCGGCCTCGGGCACGGAACGGCAGCAGAAGTGGACGCCCCGTCCACCGCTCGGGACGCGCCTACGTCCTCACCCTCTGAAGAGGAGGCGGACTCCTCGTCCTCGCCCTCCTCGTCCATCAGCTCTCCGGATTTGTAGGGGCTCAAACGCTCTATCTCCTCTTCAAACTCCTCGAGCACCTCGTAGTCAAGGGACCTCGTGGAGGGCTGGTCGTCGTAGGGATAGTAGTCCTCGTTCAAGCTCTTCATTACTACTTTTACGGACTTAAGGAGAACAACTTACGATCTAAAGGTGTTTAAACGCCTAACACTAGATCAACTGCTTACGGAGCAAAATATGAAAAGTGAGGAAGATCGTGATGAACACTAACCTCAAACAACGAAGAACACGAAGAACAGGCTTGGGAGTTTATCTCTCTAGAAAATCGGCCAGCACTTCGACAAATTCAGAATGCAAATGTGATTCTTCGTCGGAGGGGACGAGGTATTTATAGACCCCCCCACCAACGGTCACTACACGTGGCACTCTCCCAATGGCCACATCAACGGCCACCAATGGGAGGCCACCACGACACCAACGGGCCAGGCCCAAGCCACATCAATGGACCACTGGCAAATCAGACTCTACGGCCTACACACGCTCAACGGCTTTACAACTGCCAGCAAGCGCCCACAACGTCCCACTTGCCCACCAATATCACAAATGCCAAACAATAAGAGGATGGCAACGGCCAGGAACGTAACGGCCACAGAACAAAGGGGACAAATAGCCCACAGCCTTCGTCTCCTCGTAATAACCCTTGATGATAACTCTCTACAAGCGATCTGTGCACAAGGGTTCTCCCACAGGGTTACCTTGGCCAGAAAATCGCCATGAGAGTTGGATTTAGGGGGACTACGGCGAGACCGCTTCTGCCAGGGACTCAAGCAACTCCTTCACCCCTCACACTCTTCGGCCTGAAGCAGTGGGGGACTGGGGGACTACACCGGCCTCAACAAAACAAAAGAGTGTGAACAAGGTAACCACAAAGCATGGCCACATCATCCACACAGCACAACGGAACTTCATCGGCCAAAGGCCCATAACGTCACTAGCAACGACCAACAAGCCACTAGAGGCAAGGACACTCATCGTCCTCCGCCAACAATTAATCTTGACAGGCTCTTCGGCCAACCAACAACGGCCACACAAAGGAAATGAGGCCATCGTCCATCAAAGCAAGGAACAACCTCAACGGTTTCACCGGCCCAAACAAACTTCAACCAGGAAAGGGAAAGCGCGCCTTCAACGGCCACCGTTGAAAGAAGGACACTCATCGTCCCAAAACAAATTAAGGAAACAACGGCCTCCCCGCCCACAGCGAGGAACAGGTAACGGCCAAAGCACAGAACAGGATCACCAAAATGGAAACAGCGCCAGTATCGCAACGGCTAACGGCCTGGAAATGCCCGCGTCGGCCAAAAGCACAGCACAGAAATCTACTCTCCTTCACTTCGCCTACGTCTCAGCTTAGAGAGTGGGGGACTCCTGATGGAGTATATGGGTCTGAGCCCCAGGACCCACATACTCGGAAGAACAGAAAGCACAAGACAACAGAGTGGCGCCCTCGTCGGCCAAGACGCCCCCGTCGGCCGAGAAGAAGCCAACTCGGATTGTGGTCCTGAGTCCAAGGAACCCGGGTGCCCTCGTCGGCCGTGCCCTCGTCGGCCGTGCCCTCGTCGGCCGCGCCCTCGTCGGCCACGAAGACCTCCCAGAATCGGATTCTATACTTGCTCATTTGTACAGCCCATTAGAGGCTTTGTATTCGGCCCAGTAGCGGTCCAGTTGTAAATGGGCCTCCCAAGCCCAAGGCTTGGGAGCCCAACCTTAATTTTCTCTATAAATACTCACCTTGGGAGTAGTTATAGGGGTTACAAATTCATTCTATTAAAGCACGTTATTGCACTTCTCTCTCTAGCTCTCACCTCTCTCTAGAATCTAGGAGTTAATACTCTATCAGGTATAATATCGTCCCATTTGAAAATGACATTGTGCTGAACGGGTCTAGGTCTAAAACTGAACTGAACCGTTGGTCAAACTTTGGATCGTCTCAAACCATGCGCACCCCTGTTAGTTTGTCATACCATTGTATCTTTTTATTGGTTTTAATTATAAGATTTTTAAGCTTATTATTATACGGAATAAAATCAAGCACGGTGTCATGGCCTTCAATTGTACTCCCTCCGTCCCATTAGAAGATTCTCACTTTTCTTTTTTGGACGTCTCATATAAAGGTTCTCATTTCTATTTTAGGAAATAATTAACAATCTTAAGTGATAAATTAATCATTAAATATTAAATATAATACATTTATAATATCACAATTATCAATACTAACTACATTCTAATATATACCTATTAAAATTATTTCTTAAAATATACTCGAAGTACTTTATTTAATTATTGTTTAAGTAACTGTATCGTTTTGCTATGTGAACCTTCCAACGGGACACAGGTAGTAATAGTTTTTGAGATTGATGATTTGACTGATCGAATAAGCTACATTATGTAAGAAGATAGCATTTGAATTCGAAGGAAAGTCTATCAATAAGATAAATTTGTAATTTTAATCCCATAAATTTAGGTTGTTTTCATTATTAGTTTTGTTTTCATTATTATTATTATTAGTTCTACACGTTTTCAAACAGTTTAGCTATTTTATTCTTCAAAAAACAGTTTTTTAAGCGCATTGAAATGGACTGATTTTTTAAAATAAATTTCCCTCATTTAATTTATGCTCACCATGATATATGGTTTAATGATGTTTTGAGTGGGACGTAATTTTTTCAGGAGAAAGTTCTTAAGTCGCAAAAAAAACTTACTCCATATTAGTTACAAACTAAATTTGCAATTGACTAAAGTTACGAGACTAATAATTAAAACAACCAAAAATCACGGGACTAAAATTGCAAATATTCCCTACAAATAACTATCAACTAATTCAGAATACATGAACAATAAATAATTAAAAGGATGACATCTCATCTCTGAGGGCCCCCAATACCGACCGGACAATTAGATGAGAGAATGTATATTGAACAATAAATAATTAATACTACGTACGATAGTATATTGGTATTGGCAAACAAAATAAAAACCTAGCTTAGTAATAAGTAGCATTGATAAACCATTAAATTTAGCAATTAAATTTAGGAATGAAATGCTTGACCCTATACTATATTGTACTCCCTCCGTCCTATTTAAATCTTTACACTTTCCTTTTAAGATGTCTCATTTACTCCTTTACATTTACTTTTTAGACAACTTCTTTTACGTTAAATGTCTTAACTACCGTTCACTACTCACTCACTTTTTACTTTTGAGTGAATATCATTAATTTTTCTTAACAATCAAAAGGCATGCATGACATTTGTTCTTCTATTAATGGAGCTCCTAAAATACCGTGTCAAAAGCAAACGTCAAGTTCCATTCGGGACGGAGGGAGATTAATCGGTTGTGTTCACGGATGCATACATGCATGTGGGCAATGGGCATCACTTTTCCAACTCTGCTACGAAATATACATATGATCATGTTAGGGTTATATGAGTCATGACTAGCTAGCTATACTAGGTTTCCATGTGTTGTAGATAATTCTACAGGAGTACGTTTGTTTAGGGTTTCCATTTTTGCGACATGTCAAGATGATTTGGGGTGCTCTTTTTTCTTTTAACAAAATTCAATCAAAAAAGAAAATAATAGATTTAGTCCTCTAACATAATTATGTGATTATTCAAATTTAGCAGTGTAACTTTATTCACCTTCAATTCCTTTCATGTGGCTAATAATACTCCGCAT